AAACAAGGCTGCTGCTTGTTATGTAAAGACATGAGAGTCTGTTAAAGGGTCTCAATAATTTATTTAGGTAAAGGATAGAGATGAGCACTCCCTGATACAGAATCAATTATATGGCACTGATTCAGATGTCTTTGTCCAGTATTTCAGCCCAGGGGTACAGAGCACCAACCTCAAACCACCTCTCCACTGCCTGTGTGAATGCAAAAACCCAAGAGAGCACAAGAGTAAGGAGTGTGTAACCCTTTCCATCAGGCTAAAGCTGTCACATAGGCAAATAAAAGCCATACCCTGGGGCTTGCTGCCCCAAAAATCATTGGCTAAATATATCAAAATTCCATCACTGTTACCAAGTCAACTAGTCTTTCTCCATAAACTGGCAGCAAGGCCTCATTGATGAATACAACACCACCAACACAAGATTTTTAAGATGAAAAGGTTGAGCCGCTGGGCACATAGAACCTTTACTCATACACTTTAGTATTTTCTATATGGCAAGATATTCTACAGGCTATTAGAAGATCAACATTTATATCAACCTTAACACTAAACCTTTGATTTATAATGATGTCCTACCAGCAAAATGTGTTAGTTCAAGGTTGACATTAAACTTTCGAGAGTAACCAACTAATGTCTGATTTCACTTAAGGCCTATACCAGTAGATGGAATGAATGCTTGACATTGCATGGTTGACTAACAACCAGAGAGTAGACAGCACAGAGATCTAGAGTAAATCCAAATATAACTGGTCTTTTAAAAAAAGTAGTGATAAAATGATTCATATGATATTCTGCTCTAGTCATCGGTCAATGCCATATTCAAACATCATCAGGAAATTTTTCACCTTAAGCAGATTGAACAAATACATAAATACACAACCACAACCAGACATTAGACATTAGATAGATAGATAGATAGATAGATAGATAGATAGATAGATAGATAGATAGATAGGAATACACAGCTTGAAATGAGATGTCTTTACCAAATTTACCAAATCCTTCCCCAGAGTACAGGGAATACCACAAAAGAAAGAAAAGGGAAGAGTATTTGAGCCAGAGGGGTTGGAAGACACCACAAGTAAAAGGCCCTCTAAACCCACTGAGCAAACATTTATGAACTCACAGAGACTGAAGCAGCAAGCACATAATCTGTATAAGTCTGCACCAAGTGTTTCATATATACATGCCAGTTTTCAGTTTAATATTTTATGGGTCTCTTGAGCATGTAAATAAGTGCATCTCTTATTCTTTTGCTTTTTCTTCTATTGGTTTGCCTTTTTCAATTTAGAAGCATGTGCTTTTGTTTTAGGTCATATTTTATATTGTTATCTCTTAAAATCTTGTTCTTATCTAAATATAGACAGAAAGAGAATGGATCCAAATGGCAGGATAGCTGGGGAAGATCTATGAGAATTAGAGACAGGGGAAACTGTAATCAGGAAATATTCCATAAAAATCTATTATCAGTAAAAGAAAAATAAAAAAATTACTACAAAAGCATTTGTTCAACTATGTTCATAGCAGCACTATTTGTAATAGCCAGAAACTGGAAACAGCCTAGGTGCCCCTCAATAGAAGAATGGTTAAAAAAGGTGTGGAACATATACACATTAGAGTTTTACTCAGCGGTAAAAAACAATGACATCTTGAATTTTGCATGCAAATGGATGGAAATAGAAAACGCTTTAGTGAGTGAGGTAAGCCAGGCCCAAAAAGAGGAATATGGTATGTATTCACTCATAAGTGGATTCTAACCATAATTAAAGGTCTTTGAGCCTATTATTCCTGATCCTAGAGAAGCTAAATAAGAAGGTGAACCTGACGAAAATCATG